CCGCATGTACACCCACGCCTACATCCACATCCACACTCACATCCACACTCACATCCACACTCACATCCACACTCACATCCACACTCACATCCACAGGCACAACCATACCCCTACCCATACCCTCAAAATGATTTTGTTAATGCTATTTCAATGTCTTGTTTGTTTTATTTCAAAGAAATAATAAACATCGAGAGAAAAAGTTTCATTTTCTTCAACTTTAAAGTTAAATTCAGATGGTATTTCAGTGTAAAACAGAAGGAAAAGAAATCCGTTTTGAATATTTCTTTCACTCGTTTATTTGATGAAAATCATGCAATTTGTAATAGCTTTTTTACTCAACGTCTTTTTGACATATGTACAAGGTTTCTTAATTTTCTAGTTCTTATTTCATTATTTCATTTTATCAAATATATTTAGGTCAAACTACAACAGCACCTAATTACTATTGTAATGTAAATAATGATGCTGTTAAATTTACATTGTCTTCTTCATCTCATTCAGCATGGCAGCAAACATCAAACTGTTCCTTACAACAATGCAATACAACCTCCAATGATAACAACAATTGTCGTTTGTCATCAACACCTTGCTTCAGTTATTATACACTCAACAATACTGGTCATTGTGCACCTGGTATTCTATGTTCTATTTTGGAACCATGTGACAATATCACCTATAATTGTGCATCAAATGCTTGCGTATGCATCGTTAACTCGTGCTGTTTACCACAAGCAGTATGTCTACCATTGAGATTTATAAATTTTTGTAAATCAGGTAAAAATGCAGTTTACGCAAATCTGTGAACGCGTGCAAACCGATCACAGTACTCCTTCTGAATTCTAGCTGAGTCTTGGTTCCGCTCAATTAATTCATGATTGGATGAGTCTTATCGTGAAGTGAAAATTACAGAAAGAATAAAGAAACGTAAATCAGAGAAAGCAAGTTAACGATGAGAATGGAAAGACAATAAAACGAAAAATTGAAAGAGATGGATATTTTGTGGAACTCATTTATATTTTCAAACAAAATAGGGAGTGTAAGTTTTAAATTCAAGTGTTCGAGGCTCTGTCATTCCCATTGCAGCTCCACCCGAACCAAGAAAAAGTTTCTGTTCGAAGTACAGAAATACGAAGGATACCATTTACTGACAAACGACCTGTAGGTGTGCTTGTGGATGTGAGTGTGGATGTGAGTGTGGATGTGGATGTAGGCGTGGGTGTACATGCGA